AGAAATGAAATGAAATGGGGTTTAACGTCCTACTGTTCTGCTCCTAAACTGGGCTAATGAAGACGGGCATACGCCATACAGTGTGCTATGAGGGATATTTTGCCCAGGCAGCGGCACTATCCCCTACTCTTATATCGAATTCCAACTGCCAAGGGGTCTTTTACGTACATTCCAATGTATACACAGGACCTCGGTTTTTCGTCTCATCCGAAGGACTAGACAGCTGTACTTGTCAGGCCCTCCATCCTGCATCACTGACAAGGGGGAACCACGCCGGAAAATCTGGATGAACTTTCCAGGCCAATGCAGGGATCGAACACCCGACCTCCAGGCTAGCGAGCCAGTGTCTTACCCACTTAGCCACGCGATCCCCCTAATTTAATGAGAGTGATGAAACTTGGTGTATAGTTTTATCACATCAATACCTTGACTATGTTTAATAATGAGCATTTTCTGCTCAGGGTAAGCAGAGCAATAACAATTTGATTGGCCGAGACTTTGGAATACAAGAACTCTCCTTGTAATTGAGCTAGAATGTTCAAACTTGGTGTAGGTGTTTATTAGGTCAATGCCTTGATGGAATCCGAAGATGAGCATTTTCTGTCTAGGATAAGCAGAGATAAGCAATTTAATTGGTTGATGCTTTGGGACACGATAACTTTAGTTCTACTTAAGTGAGAGTGATGAAACTTGGTGTATAGTTTCAGTACATCAATACCTTGACTAAGTTCGATAATGATCTTTTTCTGCTCAGGGTAAGCAGAGCGATACACAATTAGATTGGTCAAGACTTTGGAACATAACAACTCTGCTTTTAATTGAAGTAGAATGGTTAAACTTGATGTAGATGTTCATTATGTCTTAAATGAGTTCAATGATTTACATTTCGAGCTAAAGCTAAGCAGAACTAATTTATATATAATTTCATTGGTCGATGCTTTGGGAGAAGATAATCTTGATTCTATCTGGTAGAGAGGGATGAAACTTAGTGTACAGTTTGATTGGCCGATACTTTTGAAAAAAATAAATGTGCGATTAATTAATATGTGTCATCTAGCTATTTATTTTGGGATTTCGGCGAGGGACATCAGTCTCACTGTTGGCTTGTTAACTTTCTTATCAGGCAGTGAATGATAATCACTCTCGAATTTCAGTTCGTAACTACTGTTTAATCAGTGTGCTTGATGTGGAACAAACAACTCTTTTTACACAAAAATGTATGTTCAGAAAAGCCTTGTCAGAAAATAAATGTATGTTTGGAATAGTCTTTTTATCATGTGAGTTTCATCTCTATACACTTTTGTCATGCCAAAGTACAATCAAGATATCAAGATAGATCGTAGGCAAGGAAATGATTGGTTGTTATTGGTATCTGAATTTAGAGGAAAGACCTATAAATCTCATCAAATTTTTGCCAAGTTGACTGTGAAATCTTGTGATGGTGAATCCTAACTTTATTAAAACTTATGGGATTTAGAATCATGCTAAATTTCAAAATAATGGGATCATAAATTTCAAATGCATTTTACATAGTAGATTTTTTTTAAAATTTGCTCTGTGAGAATTGTTGACAATGATTTTAGATTTAGCACAGATGACTTTACCTCTGGTGGGCATATAGAGACCTGACAAGTTACTGCCTTTGTTGACTTTTAAGCTTGTGAACATCGATAAAGGACAAAGTTATCTTATAAATTTTTAAAAACTTGATTGAATCATTAAAGGGACTATCCCGAATTGAACAGAGTCTCAAAAATAAAAATCTGAGTACATATGATATTTCAGCACCAAAATATAAAGGAATGGTGTAATTACCTTGTCTCAAAGTTTCAGCTCAACGTCAAAACTGCTTATCCGAACACGTAACCCTTTTAAGATTTCGGGTCAATTTTTTTGTTGGATGACCTGATAATTGATTCCCGTTCCTTTAGAGGTCTATACAATGAATGACCCATGTGCTGTACTTGATAACGAAAGGTAAATTTCACCTACACATAATTTTTATAAAATTAAAGCCTGGTTTTATCCAGACACCGCATAATACAGCTTGAAAATATATCACAGATATTGAGTTAGTTGCCCGACCCTAAGGTAGAGGATTTTAAGGGATTTTAACACAAAATTAAGAAGTTTTATTCTCCAAAATATTAAGTTGTGCACAAAAGTCCCTATTGAAATTCTATCGTAAATTAGGAAGTTTTCATCTCCTTTTACAGTCGAAGTTATGAAAAGTTTGTAAATATGATAAAGGAAAAAGCTGTTGATGAAAATTTAAAAACTTAAGAGGTCTATCAAAATGGTAGTCATATTAGTGGGGCTGACAAACGCCTGTCTGTGTTTTTTTTGTGGAGTTATCTTCTTGAGGACACTATTTCACTTGATTTTGTTGTATGTCAAGTCAAAGAATCTGTAGGCAGTGATATCTTTTTTGATTCTAGACCAAAAATTCGACAAAAAATTTCATGCAAAAGTGGGAAGAGAAAAAACTGCTATAAATAGACTGGATCAGACACTGTATAGTACGGAAGCATAATAGGGCCACATATATTTTTTATTATTCTATTTTCAATTATTCAAGTTACTAACTTGAATTTTCAAGTTACTAACTTGAATTTTCAAGATACTAACATGAATTTTCAAGATACTAACATGAATTTTCAAGATACTAACTTGAATTTTCAAGTTACTAACTTGAATTTTCAAGATACTAACTTGAATTTTCAAGTAACTGGTTCAAAAAAGGCCTTATTCTAAGTTCTAAATGTGTTAGTGTTCTGCCTTTAGTTTAAATCATCTCATTAAATTCTATTTTACGAGTCTAACAGTTTTGAGGGTGGTCGGGTGGTCGGTCTGTCATCAATGGGTTCGAGATTTGAATCCTGTTCTCGCCTACCTCAATGACAAGGTGCGGGAGTAGCCTATTCAATCACGCAGGTTTCCTCCGGGTACTCCGATAGCACATAGATTGGCGCAAATTGACCAGGTTATTACGATGTCGATGTGCCATAAAACACCATTCATTCATTCATTCATTTTAACAGTTTTGAGCCTTATAGAAAACCTTTTTGAAGTCCAAAAAACAAAATTAAATGTGGTGCATAATGACGAATCAAACGTCCCAGTTCTAAAAATAGTCTTTATTGACGTAATACACGACATACCCCCCACCCACCCCACCTGGGTATCTCCCCCGCCGGACATCTCCCCCCCGATACCCTCCCCCCCTTTTAGGACTTTTACCCCCAGGACATTTCCTCCTGAAAACATCTTCCCTCCTAGGACATCTACCACCGGACTTTTACTCACCGAACATTTGGCCCCCCCGGACATCTGCCCCCCCCCTCCGGGACATCTACCCCCCCTAAGGACATCTACCCCTAGAGTTTCCCCCCCCCCCCCCGACATTATTCCTCTGGAACATCTGCCCCCTAGGACATCTCTGCCATCCCCTCACACCCTTTAGAACCCTGGACGTTGCGAGGTAATTCAAGAAACAATGTAAAATAAATATAAATTTTTTACAGTGCATTATTTTACAGGTCAATAGTACAGAGTTAGATAGCAGAATGTGTCCATCGCCTCATTCCTAGCGTGTCCTAGAAGGCGACTCTTGGGGAGAGGGTCGGGTGGCCGATAGGCTACGCCTTGGTCTGCCATCAATGGTGTCGAGGGTTCGAGTCCCATTCTCTGCTATCTTAGTGACAAGGTGTGGGAACAGCCTATCCGATCACTTAGGGGTACTCCCAAAACATAAGCAGATTATCGGCGATAACACGTAGATTGACATGATTTACGGTGTCGACGTGCTATAAACAACATTCACTCATTCATTTATTTAGGTCAATACTGCCAGTTTATGAAGAGGAGACATGTTTTTTTTATCAGAGCTTAGTATAAACGCAATACTCTTCCCCCCTCTGTTAATTCTACGGAAGCGTAATAGGGCCATTAATTTATTCTTTTCTAAATTTTAAAGCCTGTAAGTCAATAACTTGAAAATTCCGGGTAGTAAAAGGACATACAAGAAAGATAATACGCCCACACAGCAGCCTTGACACAAATATAGGCTACCAGAAATGTAACAGATATGTAACGGATAAAAGTAGGCCTAACTAGTAACAAGTTAGTATCTTGAAAATTCAAGTTAGTATCTTGAAAATTCAAGTTAGTAACTCTCAAAACTGTTAGACTCGTAAAATAGAATTTAATGAGATGATTTAAACTAAAGGCAGAACACTAACACATTTAGAACTTAGAATAAGGCCTTTTTTGAACCAGTTACTTGAAAATTCAAGTTAGTATCTTGAAAATTCAAGTTAGTAACTTGAAAATTCAAGTTAGTAACTATCTTGAAAATTCAAGTTAGTATCTTGAAAATTCAAGTTAGTATCTTGAAAATTCAAGTTAGTATCTTGAAAAATTGAAAATAGAATAATAAAAAAAAATATGTGGCCCTATTACGCTTCCGTAGTATAGACCTATAGAAACAGTAATATTTGTAAGGTATTTATTCAATGCAGTGTAGATAATTTATTAATATAATATGTGTTTCTTTTCATCTGTAATATTTTTGATCTGATGCATTTATTTGAAACAATTACACCATTAATTTGTTAAGCCATTGTTTATTGTTAAATTTGTTACAAATTAAATTATACTATAATGACAGTGATTAAAGATGTCTCAATAAACGGTTGTAAATTGTTAAACGGTTGAAACCAATCATTATCCATTCTGAAAATGTGAATAGTTTTCTTATTCATATTTGGCTATTTACGCCACATGTTTTACAATAAAATATGTGGAAAAGAAAAGTTCCAAATTCGTGTTTCAGATCAAAAATGTGTGTTTTTGCAGTATTCATACAATATGGTGAATTTGGCCAATATTCACACAACTAGAAATGAATCTAGCCATGACTGTATCTTATTTTATGATTTTATTAATGAACTCGATTATTATGTAGCTATAATTATCATATAATAATTTGTCCTTTTCAGGAGAAAGTTCGAAGAAAGAATATTTGAAATATGAAAAGTTGATATTGTACAGATACCATGATTAACATACTTTTAATTCTTCTTGTCATATACTCTAGTAGAGGAGAAGAATATAAATTCCAGGATTATGTGAACCCAAACCAGGTGACTGTTGATCGTAATACAGGTGATGTTTATGTTTCAGGTGTTAATTATTTATTTCACTTCTCTTCAAACTTAATGATCAAAAATTCACTACAGATTGGCCCTTATCCCTCCTCATTTCCGTGTACTTCAAAACTAGAAAGAAATTCTACTGGCAGTGATAACCAAATACATGTTTTAGAGATAAATCATGTTGCTCGGAAACTTTTAGTGTGTGGTTCTGTTTGTGATGGTTTGTGTTCCTACCATGATTTAAACAATATTTCAACATGGCAGTGGATATCACAAGGAAAAAATAATGAAAGTTCTTTTGGTGGAAAAGGTCCTGTGTTAGTGTTGTTTTTAGCAGAAGAAACAGAAGAATTTATAGTTGCTATTTCCCAACCCAGTCCAAATAATATGATAACATTCAGAAAGTTTGTGGATAATGAAAACAGAATCAAGTATATTGGTGACCATGGATTAAACGTTTTTTCAAAATATCGTAAAGAACTGATAGTAAGGTTCATCAAAGTTTTCAAAAGTGACAAGTTTATTTATTTTTTAACTGTTAAAATGAAAAGTGTGACAAAATTTGAAGGTTTTGAGACCACCATATTTCGGATTTGTTTGAATAATGGTACTAAATCTGTGTATCCATTTTTAGAAATTCCTATGAATTGTGGAAAAGAATATACCATTGCAACTTCAGCCGCAGTTGGACATTATACTAACAACAATTTTAAGGAATCAGCACTGATTATTGCGTTTAGTAAAGCATCCAATGACACATCAGATAAACCTGATCCATGGTCTGGTACAAAGGTTTGTTCATTTAGATTGGAACGTATTGATATAGAATTTGATTTTATTAAGACTAATTGTAATGAAGAGATCGCATCTGTTCCAGAGTGGATGTTTGGACCGTATGAACAGTGTAAAAATTCATCAGGAGATAAGGTAAGCATTTATAGATATGGTCGTGGAAGAAGAGGGTATTGAGATTTGATATGAATTACTGACTTGTACATCATTCAACATTGTTGTAGGATTTCCAAGATGTATCTATTACTGAAGATTCTCACATCTACTTAATACTCTCAGCTTTAATTACTTACCCAAATTGTGTTTTTTATGTGCCCACATTGAAATGTTGTTCTTGCCAACCCTGTCAGACCATCTGTCCGTCAGTCATCCAATATTGCTTGTAGATACTCTGGAGGCTGATGTTATCATTTAATTGATTTTAGATTTGTACACAGTGTTTATGTTCCGGAGACAAAGAAGTCTATTAATTATCAACAATTTCCTATAATTACAAACAGAGTTATTGCCCTTGATTATGTTCACGGAATGAATAATCCTATTGATTTCAACAATTTGCAATAAGTTACACTGTCACAGTTATTGCCCTTGATTATGTTCATGAAACAACGAAGTCTGTTAATTTTCAGCAATTTGGGAGTTATGACCCTTGATCAATTTGAAAAATTTGTGTGTATTCTAGAGACTGAAGTTACACTCGATCAACTTGAACTTTATGCGAAGTGTTAGAAGTTCATGAGATCAAGCAGCTGATTGATTTCAACGATAAGATTACTTACATTTTAAAGGGGCAGTCTGTTCAGAAAATGATTAATGATTACCCCTTCACTCAGAGTTTTAAAGTGTGCTATGTTTTGATCTCGAAATAATCAAATATTTTAAACTAGATTTGACATAAGGAGCGATAGAATGTTTAAACTTGATGTAGAGTTCAGTGATTAACATTTCGAGCTAAAGCTAAGCAGAGTTAAACAATTTCTTTGGTTGATGCTTTGACTTAGGGACAAGATAACTTTGATTCTATCTGATAGAGAGTGATGAAACTTAGGGTATAGTTGATATTCAGTTTGATTGCTTGATACTTTTTAAAAAAATAATTTTGCAATTAATTAATAAGTGTCATCTATTTATTTTGGGATTTCGGCAGGGGGACATCAGCCTCACTGTTGGCTTGTTAATCAGCTGTTTTGCCATTTCTGCATGATTTCAAGTTTTTATACTCCAACATGTACTTTGAGTGTATACTCTATGGTCTTCGCCCCATCAATTCGTCTGTCATTTATGATTGAGGTTAGAGTTTTTGACGGATGTTTTTCAAATTTGATGTGATGCATTTGGGTCATGAAAGGACAAACCTTATTGAAATTCAGCATTTGGGTCATGAAAGGACAAACCTTATTGAAATGTGCGAAAAAGCTTGTAAACATGCAAGAGATTATCCTTTCAAAATAAGCTGCGGTCAAGATATAGCTGCTGTGCGGGCGTATTTCCAGACTTTGCAAAATTGTGTGGCTATCTGTTATTCTTGTTTACACAATATTGTCGCATAAAAAGGGAGTGAAGTTTTCATCCAAGAATAATATGTAGTGTACCGCTAGATTAATTTTGTTCCCTAGTTTCGAAAGATGTTCTTGTCTCTTCTTTGGCAAGGACATGCTGTTTAGGAACTCTTGTTAAAGAAATCTTCTATTAATACTGGCTGATAGAGACATAGGCAAGCATATCTATACTCAGCCACAATGACAGTTTAGTAGGGGGAGCGAATACCGGAAAATTGTTATAATATAAAACCATGCTGAAAACCAGTAACCATGTCCGGAAGTTATTCCCTCCCACCCCACCCAATGCCACAGTACATGGTTTTGCTTAGTTTAATAGTTTACTTTATTAAAATAATTCATACTGGTATATATATATATATATATATATTGTAGATTTGTGATAACGTTTATGGTAGAGCTATCCAAAGTAAAAGTTCTGATTTTCAAAAGGATGATCAAAAGAAAGATCAGAACCTTAAAAAGAGTTTAAAAAGAAGTTTAATAACATCAATAATAACATCAACATTTAATAATTATTTACATATACTGTTATCTGTTGATGATGGTCAGTTACTACAAGTAAGTAATACTGTTATTTACAAATGATGGTCAGTTAGTACAAGTAAGTTACACTGTTTTCTACAAATGATGGTCAGTTAGTACAGGTAAGTTACACTGTTTTCTACAAATGATGGTCAGTTAGTACAAGTTAAGTTACCAATGATGGTCAGTTAGTAAAAGTATGTTAATGCTGTGTGTTGAATTGTTTTCATTTGTATGATACATATTATCTGATACCACTTCTCACAAAAGCTAACATATATTTGTTGTACTTAATGGCACAGTAGTTAATTTTTGTCGTAGAGAAATTAGATAGACTTATCAAAAATATGGTACATGTATATAAATCATTGATCCTTTTGTGTATATTTAAACGATGTTAAGGCATGTTGGGGCTTAAAATAACATTTATTTTACTTTGTTCTAGTTTTGGCAAAAGACCACACCTGGTTTACCATGGGAGGAGAAAAATGAAAAACTAGTTGGAATAAGTGGACTAAAGCCTGATACAGCATCAGATACAACCAGTGAATATGTCTATGCTCTAAACAGTAATAAGGTACAACAACAGAATTCTATTTTATCAGTGTTGTTGTAGCAGGGATCTTAATATGTCATGCGCTGTGTGAGTTCATATATCTGGGGTCCCCTACTAGTTTTGTCTGTCTTTTCTTTCCTGCTGATTTTGCTCCTTTGGTAGTGGTACATGGATTCCATGCTTGGGATTGAGTTGATAACACTTATAACCATTGCTTCAAGAATAGGATAGAACATTGGCTGGAATATCAGGAATATGATAGAACATTGGAGGGAGTGTTTCAACTCTTTGTCTTTGTAATTCATTGATATACTTTCTCATTCATCTGTAGATATATACTCAAAGCCATTAAAAACACAATGCCTAATTCGTGAAATATTTCTGGTAAACGTTTTTTGGGGCTTTCCTATCTTACGGCACATAGGTGAAACTTGTGATGGGTCTCTTTTTGTTGAGTTCTGGGTTTGAACCCAATATCAGTTCATGGTAATGAACTTTGTTTGTGCAAACACAACACTTGTCTTTTTTCACGATTTTAAGCAGTCCCATGTCACATGTTTTGCATGTGCATTCCCTGCACTCTGGCCCTTTAAATACAGATCAAAATTTCAACATTCATCACTTCGGAAAAATGCCACGCCTTACACAAGAAAACAGGAACAGAGCTATTGGCATGCTGGATCAGGGGGTTTCACAGGTAGCCGTCGCCAGACACTTTAATGTCCACCCATCGGGTATCTGCACAACACACCATGGCGAAATGTCATCTTCTCGGATGAATCCCGATTCAACCTCAGTTTTCCTGATGGACGTCACCGTATCTACTGACGTCGACATGGACGCTTTGCTCGTAACTGCGTGCTAGAAAGGGATCGTTTCGGGGGGAGATGGCATCATGGTTTGGGCCGCTATCAACATCAACTTCCGGTCCCAGTTGGTGGTGGTCCAAGGCAATCTCAACGCTCAACATTATGTTGACGCCATCCTTTGTCCGGTGTTGCTTCCATTGCTGGCTCAACATGGCATCCGTCGACAGATGGTTTTCCATCATGACAACGCCCGTCCCCACACTGTCAGGTTCACAAGAGACTTTCTGAACAATCATCATGTCCATGTTATGGATTGGCCCGTTATGTCTCCCGACATGAACCCGATCGAACACCTTTGGGATGAACTTGGACGACGGGTTCGAACTCAAGCCGTGCCACAACGAACTGTTGCAGAGTTGGCACAGACACTCCAAAATCATTGGCAAACAATCCCACAGCGTGTAGTGAGACATCTGTGCCAGTCTATGCTTTGTTTCATGGTTCTCGGACGTTTCGGTTTTGTGCATTTGTAGTGAATTCTTTCATGAAATTATCATCCGGGGTTTAGGGGACCTGCTTATGGTCCAACCTGCGACGATGGGTTGTATGTTCAATCTAGTTGGGGGTGTACGATTGAACATACAATAATTCAATAACTCACTTCTCTTAGTATAATTTTATATTCTGTAACAATATTTAACAATGATAATATATATACATAATACTGACCCACAGGCTAAGTAACTTAATAAGGAACAGCATCTAAGAAATAACTTATCAGAGACCTGCCCTTCAGTATGTCCCTTGCCTGCCTGTGTGGTTCTACCTATGATCTACAATCTTTCCTCTAATATACTAGGGGTTACTTGGTAACAATAAACAATACATAGTAATTATATATATTTAAACTTAATAATATTTTATAGTTGTTAATGGGTAGTATTTAAGTGACATCCATTCATTCATTTACTAAGTTGCCTAATGTTTATAGATGGATTATCTCATTACTACTATTGTCTCTAATCTCTATCATAGCTGACCATTGATAACTTACTATAGATAATCCATCTTGGGAGCCACGTTGTGGTGTAAGTCTAGCCCTGTATTGGGTGAATGGCTGTATTAAATACTACCTGGTCATATATGGACGCCACCTATTTAAGCGTCGACCCGACACTCAGACGTTGTTCTTAAACTCTTCTCCCGACATCATTCTGGTAGGCCTATATTAAAGGAGCTAAGTCTGTAACTCAATATTTTTCATAATATTCGAATTCCCAAAGACGAATCAGAATTCAATACTGATCACTTTCAATCAATGTTGATGTTATGTTGCCGTGAAACTATAGGATCCTAATATCCAATATTTAAGACATAATTAACATTTTATAATAAGTACCTTATGATGTTGGGTGTCATTTTATAATGAACACAACAGAAACATATCCTACAACACAAAGTGGCAGTAGTTAGTAAAGGCTGATTCACAAATGGCAAAATAATAATTTAAACAAAATAGTGTAGAATGCATTAAGCAGGCATACACGATTAACATTCAAATTGAACTTCATATATTTCAGATTCCCAAAAATGAGCCATCTGCCTTTAAAAAAATGTACCATGCTTCATAAATGCATATAATTACTATCTCTATTCGGTTCAGCCCTACCCTGATCTTGTTTTGCATGTCAGACAAGGATTATTCTTCCAATTTCTGCTGCTATTTGATCATTAGTCACTTGCTATGCACTATTAAAATCTGCCTTGAAAGTATAGAATGACACTTTATGATTATATACATGGTATTATAATATAGTAAAGTATGAACACCAATACTGTGAACACATATACAATCAAAAAAAAATATGAATATTCATCATTGAACACCAGTAAAATAGGTGTGATGTATATTACCACAATAGTCTCACTATCAGACAAATATAGCCCTCTCATAATTTTGGATTCATGCTCTCATCTAATGTATCTTCTGAACACTCTTTTGGTTTTGCTAGTTAGATTCCTACTCTTGTGTATTTTTAGAAGTGAAAGGACTTGCCCATAGGCAGTTTGTTTGAAGGAATGAGATCAATGTTGTTTTACAAAAAATAATTTTGTTATAGTACTTATATAACACTGATCGTCACCAATGATATATACGCATTTCTGTATGTTGAATCATTTGGTTAGCTAGGCCATTTGACTCTATATACCTCTATGTAAGCCAATATATGATATGTGTTAAAATAAAAATAACAAAAAAAACTCAGATCTCTTTCCTTATTGCAGATTTTAATCGCCTTTTACGATTCACAATTTAGCTTGCGGATGACGAATTCTTGGCCCCACATCATCAGGGGTAACTTGAAGTTTGAGGGGGGGGGGGGGAATGGGGAAGAGATTAATTATTTCTTGTTTTCTTTGCCATTTTCTTTACCAGTCCTTTTTAGGTTTTTGTGGCATGAAAATTTCGTACAAGATCTTGAGGCAAAAGATCCTGAACTATCCATTGGGGTCCTTTTACTTCCCTAAGTCGTGTTTTATACCAAAATTGCCCTCTGTATTTTCTTGACTGCAGTATCTTGTCAATATGTTTGTCTTCAAATTTTGTTTGTTGAATTTGTACATTTTGTGTTTCGTCATTATTAGTATTGTTGTTAGGTTGTGTAGTTAGCTCACTGTTACTGTTATCATTATTTGCATTGGGGTGCGGTTGTGCATCAGCAGTTTGTGACAGATTTTGATTGATCTTCTGGGATCTCAGGCAAATTGGTAGGGCACTTTGCAGGATCAATGTAAGGCCTTAATCTGTCTGCATGAATGGGTGACTTGACGAGCTGGTGATCAGCGTTCCTTCTTAATTTATGGGTGTTGTTTTCAAAGTCATGACAGATATAATATGGTCCTACCCATTTACGTTGAAGTTTCCTACAAAATCCTATCTGTACTTTAGTACAGTATAACCAAACCATTTAGTCCTTTTTAAAATTTGGTGGTGCCGCTTTTTTGTTGTGTTGCTTACTATACTTTTCTTGAGCCCTTTGAATGTTTTTATTTGCAATATCGTTCGCAGTTTTTAGATTTGTTTGCATCTGCTCAAAATATTGTTTTGCGTCTCTTTTAAGGTTGTCTGGTTGTAGTAGTTCAACATCAATTGGGAGTGTGGGCTCGCGACCGAATAACATATGGAAGGGACTCATATTGGTAGATTCTGTAGCTGGTGTAGCTCTGTAAGCCATAAGGACTCCTGGAAGAATATCTGGCCAATCTGATTGATCTGGCCTGCAATAAGATCGGATTGCTGTCAGTATTGTTGAGTTCATCCTTTCACATGCTGCATTTGTTTGTGGGTGGTAACTTGATATATTAAGTTTCTTAACCCCCAGAAGTTTACATATTTCGTTGATCAATTTGCTCATAAAATTCTGCCCTCTGTCTGTTAGAATTTCCTTTGGTGTCCCATAGCGGCATATTATTTCTGCAAAAAGTATTCTTGCAATCACTATGGCCTCTGTTGACTTCAAGGGAAATGCTTCGACCCATTTTGAATAGGGACATACAATCAATAGAATTGAATGATATCCTTCTTTTGTTGTCTTTAGTGGGCCCAAGAAATCCATATGGATTCTGCTAAATGTGGTGCCAATGGGTAGTGGACGAAGTGTGGCTGGTTTTTTATGGTAGTACGGTTTTGACGTTTGACAGGTTTCGCATGACCGGACATATTTTTCTATATCTGAATTACAACTTCCTTGCCATCTTCATCATGTTGTCCTAATATATATCCAATGGCATTGGAGCTTGCATCTGCATGCAACAAGAACTTCTTTTCAAAACTTGGGTATCGAAGTATTGGTGGTGACATCAAAGCCCTCTTTAACATTTTGAATGCCTCATCTATTTCGGGTGTCCATTGAAATGCCACATCTTTCCGTAGCAATTGGTTGAGTGGCGCTGCTTTCTGTGCAAAGTTTTTAATAAACCGTCTGTAGTAGCTGCACAGTCCTATAAATGCTCTGACTTCACTGACGTTCTTTGGTCGAGGAAATGTCTGTACTGCTTCGGTCTTTGTTTTGTCCACAGCAATACCAGTTTTTGAGATGATGTGACCTAAGTATAACCCCTTTTGAGCCGCAAAGTGACACTTGGAAGGTTTTAACTAAAGGTTTGCATCTCGAATCCTGCTAAAAATTATAGTTAGATGGTTCAAATGTT